CAACTTTCCTTCTTCTCTGCTACCAACTCTCAACCTTGCAACCAATTGCAACCAATTCTCATCAGGGTCCTGCAATTAGCACAAAAGAGTAATAAGGGCAAGAAAGAACTGACCTCATACACACCCCTCTCTAAACCTTTCTTCTTCTTCCAGGTTGCTCCTCCTCTGCTCCTCTCTTCAAAGATTGTTCCTGAGTACTGCTCTACGTCCGTGGAACCCCTTTAATTCTCCAAGAATCATGACTGTATCCTGACCGCAGAGTCCACTATACAGGCTACACCAGAAGCACTGCAGGACGTACTGTCAAGAAGCTTGGGTTCGCTACCACTACCTGACTGTGTGACCTTAAGTAAGTTGCTTAATCTCTTTGAGCCTAACTTTTCTTAAGTACTTCTAGGTTTGGGGAAGGAGCCAATGAAATAAATAGGGAAATTTATTTGGAGAAATTCTTATCAATAGTAATAGTAGTATTAACCAAGTGAATGGCTACTTAAAATGCTGCAGGAAAGTGCTCTGGGTTGTCAAAGCTTCCACCCCTTTGCCACTTAGGCTTTCCCAGACCTGTGAGACTGGTTCTGTATCTATGAAAGGCAATTCTCAATTATCCATATGATATGTCTCTTTAATAAGCTGAATCTCAACCTGGCATCCCCTTGCTACTAAATTCATGGTATGGCTCCCTTCCCTGATTGGCAGCCAGTGTGTGCTCAAAGAATTCAACCTGTAGTTCACTTGTTCTAGAAGAAATCTAAGCCAAATATAATTAGCAAGGCAAAAATCCTACCCCCAAAATCATCCTTTGCATTCTAAACATGTTCAAGGGGATATTTGGATTATCTTCTAGATTTGAATAATATCTTTAATCATCTTGATTATTAATATTAATCACAAAGTAAGCCCATATTATAAGAGCTAGAAGAAATCTCTGAAGCCATCTAATCCATCTGTCCTTATTCGCAGATGAGGAAACCAAATTTCAGAGGGGAAAATTAACTTACCTGAGGTCACCCGGTAAATGGGCAAAATCTTCCTCATCATTATAGTAAATGTGCAGTAACTGAATTTTTTTTTCCCTGAAAGGTTCAAACCATTTCACAGCTGATTATTTTAAATTCAAACAGGTCTGCAGACTACTCACTCCTTAGGGTTGAGTTCTTTTTAGAGTGGGCACAAGCCCCTAGAACTTATCAAGGCCTCCAGAGTCCTACAATAAAAATCTCACCTAATGCCTAATCACATGTGTGATAAGCCACACTCAGGCTGAGCTAACATTTCTTTTGAACCATTCCATAAGAGTCATTCAACCCCTGGCTCAACATTCCTATCACCTCAGGGAACTTTTAGAAAAATATTGATGCCAGGGCCCACCATGACCAACTCAATCAGATCTCCCCCAGAGATTCTAAGAATTGTTGTTTATCTTTTTAACTCTCCAGGTGATTCCAATGTGCAGCCAAGGCTGACAAGCACTGGATTAATGGAAACAATTCAGCCAAGTTACAAGAGGAACATGCACAGAGATAACTCTTTGAGAACAAAATATATTCTGTTTTAAAGCTATATCCATGATGTCCTGTATTTCTAAAGAGGGAGAAAGAAAGTGATATACAGAAACTACAGTTGTGGAATTGACCCTCAGCCAGTTACAAACATTCAGTTTGTGGGCAATGAAAGAAAACAGGGAGCTCTGGAAGCTGCAAACCAGATTTACTAGACATAGATGTCAAGTAATCTATATTCTTTTTTATGATGGGGCCATCAGCTTGGCAGATGATTGCTATGAACCTAGCATATCTTGATGCCCACAAAGCATACAACAAATCTATCATGCTACATTATCATCATTAAACTTCAGTAGAATAGAAAATGGCACAGTCCCATGAAGTCTGCACTGGTTGACCACATATACACAAAAATTAACAGGTCCCAACTCCAAGAGAGGGCTCTGGTGAGGTGCCAGAGGAGCTAGCATTAATCTCATCATAGTGAACGTTTCTTTGAATCAACAACTTGAATGATACTTATTCAGTTTTCAAATAATGCAATGCTAGAAAAGACTGCTCATCTGTTGTGTGACATGAAAAAAAAAATTAAAAACCAAAAAAAGCTAGAATAACAAACCAACCAAAGAAAATAAAATTTAACAAGTTTGGTTCAAAAAAACCCTAAAGTTTGGTTCAAAAGGCCAACTTCATAAGAGAGGACTGGACTAGATAGGAAAGGGTTTGAAATACAAACCCAAAAAAGACTAAGGCAAGGCCGGGCGCTGTGGCTCACGCCTGTAATCCTAGCTCTTGGGAGGCTGAGGCGGGCGGATTGCTCAAGGTCAGGAGTTCAAAACCAGCCTGAGCAAGAGCGAGACCCTGTCTCTACTATAAATAGAAAGAAATTAATTGGCCAACTGATATATATATTATATAATTAGCTGGGGCATGGTGGCGCATGCCTGTAGTCCAGCTACTCGGGAGACTGAGCGGGATCACTTGAGCCAGGAGTTTGAGGTTGCTGTGAGCTAGCTGACACCACGGCACTCACCCTAGCCTGGACAACAAGCGAGACGTCTGTCTCAAAAAAAAAAAAAAAAAAAGACTAAGGCAGTGACTCTTAATCCTGACTCACCATTTGAATCACCTCTGGGAGCTTTAAATTAAAAAAAAATAATAATAAAGCTGCCTGAGACCCATCCCATGCAAATTAAATCAAAATCTCTCAGAGTGGGGACCTGGCACAGGTATTTAAAAAACTCCCCCAAGTGATCTGAATGTTCAGTAGGGGTTGAAAATCAATAGAAGGCTGTATTAGTCATTTCACAGACAGTCCTTTTGTAATTGATCCTGGTCAGGTGGCACCTGTAGTAGCATGAACAGTTCTGGGCAGCACATTTTTGAAGAAATATTTAAAACAGAGTGCTTCAAAAAGAAGAACAATTGTATGAAAACTGCAGTTCCTTCAAAACATTCTGTATTTTAGGCTTTGGCAATTCACTCTGGCCTTTCACCTTGAAGATCCCAATAGTGCATTTTCATAAGACTAAAGAGAATCCTTTGATGAATATTTAAGACAAAAAGGCAGCATTTTATAGAATAAAGAATTCTGTACAAAAATGTTATACAAATGAAAGTTATTTTTAAAACACTAAAAATGTATGTAAGTAGCTGAGGAAGCTAGTATGACTTCAGGGATGACGCACACACCTCCCTCCCTGCCTGACCCCTTTCACCATCAGACTAGCTGGCAATGATCAACTTTGACTCTCTCAACTCCCTATTTGAGAGGCAAACCCATTACTATACCACCAATCTCACTGACTTTTACTCTCCTCATCTGTCCACTTCATAAGGCTGATGTGATGCTTAAATTAGAAAGGATGTGAAATTGCTTTTTAAATTCTATAGGCCCATGCGCTGACAAGGGGTGATTACTACTGTCACTTTTGGACTGCTTCCTGAGCCTTCTCTGCCCTCTAGGTCCTTCCACCTTGTAGTTTTTCTACTTTGTACTTTGGTGCCAAAACAAAGCACAATAAAGCAAATACCCTAGAGAGCTAGATCTACCTAAGGACAGAAGGAGACACTGTGGGCAGATGCTGGAAGAGCTAAGCTTTGCTCAAGGATTCTTGGAAAGCCAGAGACTCAGTTGGCCTAGAACAAGTTGCAGAGCTAGAAATAAAAACTAGAGAGTATAATATTCCCCTCCTCCCTCCATCCCATTTCTTGGGGCAAAGCCACTGGAGATGGATCCAGATGCCTTGTGGGAGGTCTTCTGCCTAGGCGTTTATTTTGGGAGAAAAGGCTTGATTTTCATGTCCCTGCCCAGAGCAAGCACTCCACAGGCCAAGGTATCAGAGCTGAGATGGCAAACAAAGGCTAAAGAGGAAGACATGCTTTGACTCCATCCCTGCAACACCAGAGTGTGCCCTCTGGTCACTCTCAATCTGGGCCTCACCACAGGGCAAAAGAGTACTTCACCCACAGGCCTATTGAGATCCTTCTCTCTAGCAGCTTAATCACACACGCACAAGTGGATGAGAAAATCTGAACCAGGCTAGGCCCTGTTCACTAGCTCCACAATCAAATTGGCTTTCCCAATTTTCCCAGGTAGAAACTACTGGATCAAAACAAAAGGGGAAAAAATACCAAATTCCATACTACAGCTGGGCTAGGCAGGGTTCCTCAAGCCACAAACAAAATTGGGGCATACTGCACAACCTGCACAAACACATGTTGCAGGTTGTGACAGATGGAGACTGTCTCAATGGAAGAAAAGCACTGTTCAGTTTGTTCCCACCAAGCTATCACTTCACCCTCTCCCTGATGCAGCCAAAAGTTAAGATGAAAAAAATGTTTTCAGAGCCTGCAGACCTCCTTGCACTAATGCTATGCAGTGAAATGGCTCAGTTAAGGAGAGGGTAGTGACTGCAGAGGGATTTGAACCCATGAGTCTTCCAATAAATAGTCCCCAGGACTGGACTAGGCTAGGCTTTGTATGCCTTCTATGGACATGTTTTCTAGGCATTTGCAGGCAATGGGTATCTTCTTTCTTTGCCCCTCCAAAAGCATTTCTCCAGCTCTTGTTGGGCTCCAGTACCCTTTCTCCAGAATTATGGGTGCCTGGGCCTTTAAAGGGTGAGCTCTGGAGCTCAGCAAGTGCTGAGTGATGAAGGGATTGCTAGGATACCAGTAGAGGGCATTTTCTTAATTCCTTGGTGAGGATCTGGGAGCTAAAATCCCTGAGCTGGGATTTTTGCCCCTCCTAGTAGCAAAAGCTTATCCTCTACTCAAAGGGGTCAGAGAGAAGAGAAGGGAATCAGGAGCTTTATAGGAGGAAGTTGGGACAAATCAGAGAGGAAAAGTCCTCTTCTTTTCCTTACTTCTCACCCACTTACAGTGGAGAGGGGAGAGAAGGAGGCAGTGGTGTCAGGAGAGGGAGAAAAAGGAGAAGAGGAAATATTAAGAGAGAAGGCAGAAGAGAGAGAAAAAAAGACAAGTCAAAATGCATACAGTTCCACTCCTCTGGGCTGCATTTCTCATTTTCTCCCACTCTTTTCTCTTTTTGCATACCCTCACATATCTGAAAAAGAAATGTCAAACCTTTAGGATTCACACAAGTAAAAAGTCACACTGCCACCTTTTGTTCTCTACTCCCCAAACTCCCTTCTGGCTGCTCTAGAGTGGCCTGCCATATGGCTCAACATCCCCTTATTTGCCTAAATATAAGTTAATTCAAAAAGTGCTAACCCATTTTGACAACTAAAATTACTGATGGAAGGGCTCATTTAAGCTATCTCTCTAGTCTGAGGGGTTTTAGGTTGTGGGAAGAGGACTGGCCTAAGTGACACCTATCCAATCCATCCTAGCACCAGTCAAATCCTCACAGACCCTAGCACAAGGAGGTCATTCAGAACTGTGGAACTCAATGCTGTCTTTCCTCATTTCTACCACCACTACCCTGCATCCACACTCAGGAGTTTGCACCCATACACACGGAAGGGCGTGCACACACATCCACACACCTTACAAATATACAATCCCAAAGGCTTTCCGCCAAAAGGTCTATCAGGCACCTGGAGGGAAAAGTGTTTTGTGACACTACTTAGTCATTAACCTGGGTCAAATACTAGCCTTAGAGACCCTTTTTCCCCTTAGGGAAAAGAAAAAAATTAAAAACATTCTCTTGGTGCAGTCCCAGTTTCCTGTCCATATAGCTAGGGGAAAATCCCTTAGTTAAAACTTATCCTCTAGACACCAGTAACCAAATATCCACTCCTTCCTCCCATCACCCTTCAACCTTTCATTTTTCCTTTTCACTTGTCTTTCCAGTTCATCTGCCTCTGACTTCAAGTGCTCAAAATGATAGAATGCAAGAACTTGGAGGTCACCTATTCCAACCATCCCCAAATGCCAATGTTACAGGGAATCCCAAACCAGTTGAAAAGGAAACAAATTGACCAAGGTCAAACAGCCACTGAATGAAGAAAAGCAAGGTCTGCAGCTGTCCATTGTAGAGCCTTTCTCCACTCTCCAACACTGTCTCAAAACAAAGTGCCTAGACAAGATATAAGCTTGCTTTAAACAATACACTGGCACTAACAAAGAAAAAAAATAACCCACAGAGATTCCCTTTAGAAGTTATTGGTTCCACCCAGAGGGTCCACACAATAGAACCAAAGAGCAATTAATGAGAATAAATGCCAGCAAACTTCCCAGATCATTCTTACATCATGGTAGCAGACCCCTGCCCCAAACCTCAGCTTCTCACCCAAACTGAGTCAACAAGAACTTACTTTGAGGCTCAAAACCCCATCTGACACCATTAAATAATACTGTGTCCTATGGTCAGGACAATTCCGAGGGTCCCATTTATAGCCCTTCTCCCTTCATAATGATTTCCAAAGAGATCGATCAACGAGACATAGAACTTGACAGCATAATGCCAACAGATTTGCACATCACACATGAGCAGCCACCCACATGGGTGTAGGGGGAGCATGTGTGTGGATGTGTAGGGGAAGCATGTGTGTGGATGTGTATGCACCCTGATTCATTGCTACATGAGCCAGAAATGGCATTATTGCAAGTCAGGTAAGCAATGGAATGAGGAAAACCTGTCTATATCAGCAGGGGAGGAAAAAAAAAGTATTATACGCACTGGCATCTGAGACAATTTTTTTCCTGGCTTTGCCAAGAGCTTTCTCAGTGGAAACAGCATATAAAAATAATAATAGCAATAATAACAGCAACCACGACCACTACCATCTGATACAGGCAAGCAGACCTATCTCAAATCGGAAATTTGCTTCCAGCTCATGTTTTCTGAGCTCTCATCCCATTCCATCTAAACTTTTTTTCTTTTGGTGTTCAAAACTCTTAATTTAGCACATTACATACTTTTAGTTTGTTATGGGAATATTTCAGAGAGATCTCTAATCTTAAAGTAACAAACAAGGAAGCAAACAATGGCACCATCACTTTCTCATCTGTGCTATCAAGTTCTATTTAAAATGTGGTTCAAGAACATTACAAATGAGATTACCCCAAAGGAGCCATATCCAAATACTGTTATTACCAAGGCGGGTAAAGAGCTTGTTTTTTGGATGAGACATAGAGAAAATCTCCAAACTCAAATCCAGGGGTTCAATCTTTGGGGAAAGGAGCCCAAACAGCTCTTGTCAAAGTCCTCTCTTGCCAATTCAAAAGATTAGAGAATGCTTTTATGTATTATTCCATGATCCCAAAGAAATTGGCATTTAATGCTTTAAGAAATGTTTTAAAGGTGGCTTCTGTCCAAATTGGAACCTGAACCCTGGACAGCAAATTGAGATTCAAAGGGCAGTCACCAACTGCCAGCTCAAGACATCCCACCGCATCACTTCCCAAATTCTTGCCTCTCATTAGAGACTAAAGAATAATTTTTTCCTAAATCCATTACTTGAATTGATTTTTCCCCTCTAAATATGCAGTGCAAGACTGTCTTTCCTACATTGCCAAAAATTCACCATGCTCTTCAACAAACCCTTTTCCCCCAAAACCGAAATGCACTCCCGATGGCAAGAGAGAAATTTTGACTAAAATTCACTGATGGAGTTTAAGGGTATTTTTCAAGAAAATTAGTTGGCAAGAACCACAAACAGCAAAGCCACTGTTTAAGGACGCAGGGCTTGCTCCACAAACGCCACATAGATGGAGAATGCACACGCATGCACACTTAAATAGAAAGCATTTCTTCATCGGCAATTTCACTCAAGCAATAATAAGCAACTACACGCACAAGGCATACTTAAAAGACAAGACATGGCAAAAGATTTAGGGAGAGATAATATACCAACGTCATACATATCACAGCGAGGCCATGTTGAAGCTCAAAACGTTTTCCCCCCTGGGTAAGAAAGCTTGCTCTTTCTCCCCTCTCTCTCCCTCTCTCTCTCTCTCTCTGTCTCTGTCTCTCTCTCTCTCTTCTCTTCTCTCTCTCTCTCTCTCTCTCTCTCTCTCTCTCTCTCTCTCTTTTCTCGGTGGCTCTCGGGATGAAATCAAAGCGAGAGTTCGTGACAGCTCAGGTGGCTGGACTCCATTCAGCGCGTTCCCAGGAAAAACATGAGTATGACATTGACAAGCAGAAGGACTACAATCACGGCAAAAACAACTACAGTTTGCACATCCAGGGTCATGGTGCAATGCAGAACACTGTAGTGTTCTAGGTGGGGGGCCGGCAGATTGGGAGATGTCAGTCTCTGTTCTGTCAGACTGTCCATACAGCCACCATGCTAGAAAGGAGAGGAGGAAGTAGGGTGGTTAGGGAAGGGCTGCGTTTGGCGCCTGAGTCTGGTGGTGGGGGGAAGGGAATGGGGATAGGGATGCTTAGTTCCCCTCCTCTCGGGATTGGGCTGATCTTTCTTCCCTAGCTGAGAAATCTTAGCTTGCGCTGAAGTCGGCAGAGTCCAGCATTCTCTCGGGCGCCACGGAAAGGGCAAAATCCTGGGTTTCAAAGGCAAAGGCGGGAGGAACCCGTGAGAGGGTCTCTGGCGCCTGCTCAGTCTGTCTGTCCGGGCGTGCGTCAGTCCTCCTGCCTGACTACTGGTCAATCTCGGTCTTCCCTACTCCCTCTAGTTCACTTGCTTTCCTAAGCTTGCTCGCTTTCTTCGCGGGGCTCCCAGCTGCCAGCTACTAGTTCGATCCCTGCCTCACTAGCCCTCTCCCTTTCCTCTCCCCACCCCCCCAACCAGGACGCAGGCAGCTTTTTTATTCAGGAGCGACTGCAGGCGCCTGCGTGAGGCGCGGCCAGAGCCGCTGACAGGCCTGTTGGCCAATAACAGATGCCGTAGCAGTGCGCTCGTTCCCCAGGGGCGGGACTTGAGCTGGCGTGCTAGCTACAGCAGCCAATTGGAGGTCCCAAGGCTCCCCAAGCAGTCTGGCTCCATCCCGACAGGCGGGAGTCACCCACCACCCGTTCTGACGCGGGGGTGGGGAGCTCGTGGGGGTGGGTTGAGAGGAATGGGTGGAGATGGGAAGGAGAGGAGGAAAATGAGTGGGAAAGAAGGAGGGAAGAAACGAAAGGGATGTAGGGCAGAGGGCGTGGCAGGCAAGGAGGCCGGAAGGAGGTATGGAGAAGGAAACTACGGAAAGAGGGAGAAAGAGAAGGAAAGATGAGAAGGAGGGAGAGGAGATAGAGGATTTAACGAAGAAAGAGAAATCTGGGGTAAAAGTAGGAAAAGGGAGAGGTGGGAGAAGGAATGGAAAAAAAGGATAGGTACGTGGGGAGAAAACATGTACCTTGACAGTCACTTTGGAGCCTGGGCCAAGGAGAAAGAAAGCAAAGGTGCCTTTGATCACTGCCTAAGAATTTATGGGCAACTCAATGATTAGCTATGAAAATTCAACAAACCAGTGCTGTGGACAGAGCCACACAGACACACCACAAAATTTACTAAATCCAATTCTACTTGACTTTCTCTCATATCACTGCCCTCACCCGGTCAGATTTCCTTTCCTAATTATGGTTTTTTTTCAGACTATGACAGTCAGCTTGCCCTCTTCCAACATGCTGGGTACTACGCAGGGAAGCCAGCATAGGGTAAACATTTCCCTAGGAAAAAGAAAATCTACAGAATTTGCAATCTGCTTGTAATCATTGTCCTGCTCTGTGTTTGTGACCTGGTGTCTGGAGCTAGGGTGAAAAAGTCCTGGACTAGAGACTAGAAAGTTTCAAATTTACTCTCAGACCTACCTCTAACTTGCGGTATGACTTTCCGGCAATTCTCTTTTCCTCTCTAGGCGTCTATCTCCCTTCTGTCGCATGAGGACTTAATGAACCTCAGAACCCTCACCCCAGAAAAATACATACAATTTCAGCGCATCCGTGAGCCTTCAAGAACCAATGCCTCCCTTATAGAGATCACTCAGGTCCTTTAATGCTCTTACATCTTAGAACTGTATGAGTAAACTGATATATATGGGTGGAGAGAGGCAAGAAACTGGATTGGCTAGGAATAAAATAAAGTTCTGGAACTGGTGGCATACTATGGACTCTAAGAGGAATGAGAATTGCTTTCTATTCTCTAGAAATCTTAAGATGGATGACTATCTGGATACAGGTCCTACAAGACAATAAACCCCAAAGAAGTCCTATGTTAAAAGTTTTGTCTCATAACATCACTTTTGAATGCTTCTTCCCAAAACAAACAACAAAAACTCTGAATGAGATCAAGCTTCTTGATCCAACTATCAATTTATAGAATACACAGAGGACAGAGGTATATTTTAAACTGCAATACAGGGAAATCCACTCTAAAAAATTACAGTTTTTCTCAAGGACCAACAAACTGGTTCTTTAGCAAATAAATAGGAAGAAAACAGAGAGATTTAAGTTCAGGTGAAATTTGCACATACACATGACATCTAAGACAACTGGAAATTTGAACACAAACTGGATATTTGGTGATATTAAGGAATTACTATCAATTGTTTAGATGTGATAATGATGTTGTAGTTAAATATTTAATAAAACAGGGGGAATAGGTATAAATCTCTGCAACCTTGGATTTGGCAATGGTTTCTTAGATATGACATAAAAAACACAAGCACCAAAAGAAAAAAAATAGATAAATTGAACTTCATCAAAATTAAAAGGATATTATCAAGAACATGAAAAGAGAACCCACAGAATTTGAGAAAATATTTGCAAATCATATATCTGATAAGGGATTTGTATGAAAAGATACTCAACAAAGTTAGCCATCAGGAAAATCCAAATCAAATGCAGGAAATAAAAGTGTAGGATAGTCACTACGGCATTGTTTATAATAAAATACCACTCTACACCCACTTCTAGTGGCTATAATAAAAAAATGATAATAACAAGTATGGAGGTTGTGAAGAAATTGGAATCCTCATAATACAGCTGGTAGAAATGTAAACTTGTGGAGCCACTTTGGAACACATTCTGTAGTTCCTCAAAATGTGCCTACCATTTGGCCCAACAATTCCACTCCTAAGTATATACCAAAGAGAAATGAAAACATGTCCACACAAAAACTTATGAAACTTGCATGAATGTTCATAGCAGCATTGTTCTAATAGCTAGAAGATAAAAACAATTCAAATATCAACTGATGAATGGATAAACAAATGTATCCATACAATGGAATACTATTCAGCCATAAAAAGGAATGGAGTGCTGATACATATTACAACATAGATGAATTTTGAAAACATGCTAAATGAAAGAGGTAGCCACAAAAGGTTTTCATTTTATTCCACTTGTATGAAATGTACATATATTAATAGCATAAATACTGTTTCATGAAGCTTTTGTTTTAGGTATACACACACACACACACACACATACTGAGTTGTAATGTAAAATGTACTTCTTACAGCAAGTAATGGTCAAAACAGTTTGATAGCCATTCTTCTAGATTATGTTGAGACACATCATACTGGTGATCAGGACAGTACCATAATGTCAGCAACTAGAATCTTTCTCCTTGACTTTGAAAGTTCAATCTCATCCTGTCTGTACTTCCTCAATAACTTTTGACCTCTCAACCCCACTGTAGCCTGACTTTACTCCCATCATCCCATAGAAAACTAGAACCTCTTTTGAATGTAAACAAACAACCAACTTGTTGCTAAATTTCATGGCCAAGTTTCCACCTTTATCTTCCCTAATTTATCCCCCACTTGACTCCATTGATGCCTTCCTCATTCCTGAAATGCTTCTTTGCCTTGGGGACACCATCCATATTACCTGTCTGATTATACTGTCTTCACTTCCTACCTGAGTTTTTCTTCATCCAGTCATTAATGCCATGATTTCTCCAGGTTCTTGTGATCTTAGTCCCCTTTTCCTCTAATTCTGCACTTGCCCTGAATGGGCTCATCTGCTCCCAAGGCTTGAACTACCACTTACATTGCACATTAAAGCACTTCCTTTTAACAAAGTTACTGGACACCAGTGGGGAACAAAACAGACATAGGATCTTGTTTGCATGTAAGCATGGAACTGTTGATGACCCCCAGGTAGCTCTTTTGGACTCAAAAGATGGATCTCCAACTGCTTTCTGGATATCTCTGCTATAATAGCTCACAAGCACATCAAACTTAGTAAGTCCAAAATTGAACTCATCTTCTCCCACCTTTGCCAGCTTCCTTCTTTCCCTGAGTACTCTGTCTCTTGGGAATGGCAGTCACACACTGGACTAGCCAGAAACCAAGAAGATAGATATCTATAAATCCTGCCTCTCCCTCATCTCGCTGACAGCCAACCAGTCCCCTAGTCCTGTTGATTCTCTTCCCCCTTAATCTCTCTCTCTCATTTCTCTCTCTCCCTCCCTCCCCTCCTCTCTCCTCTCTCCTGCCAGTACCTTTAATTAGTTCCTCATTATCTCTGATCTGTTACCATTCATTACCTAGTCTCTTGTGCTGCTCTCTCCAACTCAGCTTCTACTTTTCTGTCCAAATTATCTTTCTCAAAAGCAGTTTTGCTGTTATCAATCCTGTGATAGACACTATGGATTGGTTGCTAAGGATCCATGCCATCCTCCTTCTAGCCTGCCTTCCTATATTACCTAAAAGCCAAAAATCTACAACAATAACAACAAACTGGCATTTCCCAGACCCTTTGCAGCCCAATGCATTATCTTTCTGTTTGTGGCAGAGATAGCAGCTACCTTGGCATTGTTCTGGGATTCATTCCTGGAGGCCCAGCCTAAAGCTTTCCCCTCCAGCCCTTCCACCAATTTTGTAATCATTTGATTTTCTGTATTACAACTCCTTCTGCTAAAACGAACTACAGTGATTTATT